CACAACAGCCAGGGCTGGGCTGGGCCAAAGCTGGGAGCTAGGAACTCAATCCAGGTCTCCCATGTGGGTGGCTGGGAGCCAATCACTTGAGCCATCAGTGCTGCTTTCGGGGGTTATCAAGAGATTTCCTTTTATAAGAAGAGGGAGGAGAGCTTTCGTATTAGGGTTGTAACCGGGCACGAGGGGTCCTTCGCTTAGGGTATCACCAGTTTATCAGCCTCAAGTGGGAGCTGCCCAGAGGAAAGCTTTATGTCCTTGGGAGATGCAGAGAACAGGAAGGAAGAGATCCCTAAAGAAACTGCCCCCCTGAGAAGCCAGGGTGTTTTTTTTTTTTTTTTCAAAAAGTATTTTTATTTATTCGAAAGAGTTACAGAGAAAGGTAGAGCCAGAGAGAGAGAGGGCTTCCATTCAGCTGGTTCACTCCCCAAATGACTGCAACAGCCAGAGCCAAGCTGATCTGAAGCCAAGAGCCGGGAGCTTCTTCCAGGTCTCTCATGTGGGTGCAGGCGCCCAAGGACTTGGGCCATCTTCCACTGCTTTCCCAGGCCATTAGCAAAGAGCTGGATTGGAAGAGGAGCAGCCAGGACTTGAACCAGCACCCATATGGGATGCCAGTGCTGCAGGCTGAGGCTTTAACCCGCTACAGCACAGCTCCAGCCCCAAAGCCAGCAATTTATAGCAAGGGTTAGGGGACAGCCAGGGTGTAGACAAGGGGGAGTGGGAGAGCCCTTCCTACTTGCAATATACATCCTTAGCCACTGCTTATACAAAATTTCACTCTGGCTGATTTCTTGCAGATTTCCCTGTCTGTGGTGGTCTGCCCCCCCTCTGAGTACTGTTGCAAGCTAAGCTTTCCTGGAATGCCTTGGGAAAAACAAGCTCAAGGGAGTAAATTGTTTCAAATTCTCTGCCCTGTGTGTTCCTGTGCCTGCCTCTTGGCTAAATCCTACACTCAGTTACAGCATCAGTGTATCACTAAACACAGGATAAAGGGAAGATTGCTAATCCCTGTTCTCCACCCACTGAATTCTCCAGGATGGCAATCCATACTCATTATGATGCTTTGAGGCACTGTGGGAAGAATTAAATTCAGCACAGTTGCTGATATTATTTGTCCATGTGCCGCATGATGGGTCTTCAAAACATTCATGGAAAATGGGTAGTATGGAAAGCTATGCATAGCTTTCACAACACTTCTGCGCCAGAATCTTTTCATTCCATTAGCCACAAATAGTTCGAAGTACCTTCATCTACTCATTCATTCATTCAACAAACATGAGTAGAAGGACTAGATAATTCAGAAAGATCATCCCCAGTCATTCCGAATGAGCAGACTTGTTTGGTTGATCCGTTTCATTGGCTCAGTACCCCAAACCAGGGCTGCATCCTTCCTTCCCATCCCCTCAGGCGCTCCAATCCATAGCGAGACAAGCGTCGAGGTGTTCTGAAAGCTGTTGTGGGCAGAATCACCTGCAGGGCAGTGGCCAGGGCCTTGTAAGAGAGGAGTGAAAACCCTCTTTTGGCCGTGTTGTCCGGTTGGGAAAGCAGCAGACTGAAGCCAGGGTGTCAGGGTGTCAGGCCTCTCTCATACATCGCTCCATGACTCCAGGCTTCAGCGTCCTCACTGTGAAATAAAGAACTCAGCCAAGAGACTTTTTAGCAAGATGGTACCCTCTAGGAGTGCACGAATGAAGGACACTGATACAACCAAATTTAGATGAAGTTTTGTAATCCTGAAGATGTAGGATTCCTTATAGAAATTAAAAAAGGAACCCTGAGGATTCTAGGAGAAATTCTCTTGGACATCAGCCCTAGGTTTTTTTTCCCTAATACTATTATGGTAGGATTTCAACATATGAATTTGGGGAAGATACAAACATTTAGTCCACAACAGTGACCAATTTAGAAGAGTCAAGAAAGCATCAACTCTGGTTTGCTTTGTGGCATAGCAGGTTAAACTTTCATCTGCGATGCCAGTATCCCATATGTGTGCCGGTTTGAGACCTGGCTGCTCCATTTCCAATCTGGCTTCGTGCAAATGCGCCTGAGAAAGCAGAAGATGGTCCAAGTGGTTGGGCCCCTGCATCCACATGGGAGATCTGGAAGAAGCTCCTGGCTCCTGGCTTTGGCTTGGCTGTTGCAGCCATATAGGGAATGAACTAGTGGATGAAAGATTCTGTGTGTGTGTGTGTGTGTTTGTGTGTGTTCTCTGTAAATCTGCCTTTCAAATAAATAAATTTTAAAAAAAGAAAGCAAGTGTCGACTCCAGATCCCCTCACATTCATGATCAGTTCCTATCTAGGTCCTATCTACGTAAAATCTAGTGTCAGCTTTTGGAACCCCTAGGTATCTAGAGTGTCCCAGAGGAGCAGAATCTGAAGGAAGTGTTCTCAGTGGGTTCTGAGGCCTCTGGAACTGGCTCTCTAAACCAATTAGATTTAAAGGCACTAATGACTGTATTTCCAGCAGTACAGAGAACACCAGTCCACGGTGTGCTATCGTGATAGAGACAGGCAAAATCTCATCTCTGGAAGCTCCTGACCACACACTTGGACCAGGCAAGGTTCTGGGGACTATGGAATGCCTCGAGTGCCACCTCAGAGAAAAGCCATTGCAGCTTCTTACTTTCTGCCCTGCTGGATTCTGATTTTCCTGTTAATAGGGAGGCTGAGCGCTGCATTTGGAAATGGCTGGCTGGACTCTGCTGATTGCTATAAGCCTTGGGGCTGGCAGCAGCAACCTGGAGGCAGCATGTCTTACATTACCTTATATTGCCTGGGATAAATCTCTTGAGGCAGTGGGAAATGGTGCCCACATCTCTATCTCATTTTTTAAAGGTTTAGTTATTTATTTGAAAGGCAGAGTTACAGAGAGAAGAGAGACAGAGAGATTTTCTATCTGCTGGTTCACTCCCCAAATGGCTGCAAAGACCAGGACTAGGCCAGGCTGAAGCCAGATGCTTCTTCCAGGTCTCCCACATGGGTGCAGGGGCCCAGGGACTTGGGCCATCTTCCTCTGCTTTCCCAGGCTCCTTAGCAGGGAGCTGGATCGGATGTGGAGCTGCCAGGTCAGGTGCCCAAATGGGATGCTGGCTTTGTAAGGCTGAGGCTTAATCTACTAAACCACAATGCCAGTCCCTCTATTTTGTTCTTTGTTCTTTTTTTTAAATTATTTGACAAAGTTAGATAGTGAGAGGGACAGAGAGAAAGAAAGGGTCTTCCTTTCATTGGTTCACTCCCCAAATGGCCACTATGGTTGGCACTACGCCAATTCAAAGCCAGGAGCCAGGTGCTTCTTCCTGGTCTCCCATGCAGGTCCAGGGGCCCAAGCACCTGGGCCATCCTCTACTGCCCTCCGGGCCACAGCAGAGAGCTGGTCTGGAAGAGGAGCAACCGGGACTAGAACCTGGTGCCCATATAGGATGTCAGCACCGCAGGTGCGGTGGAGGATTAACAAGTGAGCCATGACGCCGGCCCCCTCTATTTTTTTTTTTTTTTTGACAGGCAGAGTGGACAGTGAGAGAGAGACAGAGAGAAAGGTCTTCCTTTGCCGTTGGTTCACCCTCCAATGGCTGCCGCGGCTGGCGCGCTACGGCCGGCGCACCGCACTGATCCGAAGGCAGGAGCCTGGTCTCCCATGGGGTACAGGGCCCAAGTACTTGGGCCATCCTCCACTGCACTCCCGGGCCACAGCAGAGAGTTTACCTGGAAGAGGGGCAACCGGGACAGAATCCGGCGCCCCGACCGGGACTAGAACCCGGTGTGCCGGCGCCGCAAGGTGGAGGATTAGCCTATTGAGCCATGGCGCCAGCCTCTATTTTGTTCTTAAAAATCTACATAGTAACAACCACAACAGTAGCTAACCCTCACATAGCCCTTATTTCCTGCCAGGCTGATTGCTCTCTGTGCTATAAACATATGTGTGTATTGAATGTTTTAAAAATTCATTTTATTTATTTGAAAGAATTAGAGAGAGAGAGAGAGAGAGAGAGAGAAAATCTTCGATCTGCTGGTTCACTTCCCAAATGGTCACAACAACCAGGGCTGGGCCAAGCCAAAGCCAGGAGCCAGAAGCTTATTCTGGGTCTCCTATATGGTTACAGGGGCCCAAGCACTTGGGCCATCTTCTGCTGCTTTCTCAGGCACATTTGCAGGCAGCTGGATCAGAAGTGGAATAGTCGGGATTTGAACTGGCAACCCATATGGGATATTGTCACTGCAGATGATGGCTTTACCTGCTACACCACAGTGCCAGCCCCACAGGTACTGAATCTTTACAACAGCATTATTAATCCACTTTACAGATGGGGAAATGGATACAAAGTCAAACAGTTAATAAGGAAAGAGCCAAAATTTGAATCTAGAAGTCTGGCTCTAGAATCTACGCTCTCAGTGCACTTGACTGTTGAACAGTCATGTTGAACACTGTTGAGTCCTGGCCCTGGCTCTGCCACTCGGTAGTGACATGATCTTGGACCAGACCCTAAAACTCTGAGCCTCGGCTTCTGAATATGTTGCCCTGGGAATGATAAAACATCCTGATAGGGTTGCTGTGAGATTTAAGTGAGATGTCAAATGTGTCTCAGTAGAGTATCTGGAACTTTGTCAGGGCTCAGTAAATGGGCTTTACACCCACCAGGATGCCAACAGGTTGCATCTCAGCCCAGCAGGGACAGAAGGTAAGGATGGTTGGCAGTGGGCAAGCTCCTGGTGACTGCAGCACCACAGGACCACTCTGGGCTCGGAGAGGAGAGGAGGCACTCTCAAGGATAAGTGCTCAGTTTTCCAGGACAGGTTAGACAAGTGTTGGATTCAGGAAGATATTCCATGCTTCTTGTTCTAGGGAGGGAGTCGAGCTGTGAATGTGAGGCCCAGCTGTTCCTTGCTCCTCCATCCCCGCCCCTTCCTCAACCACTCATTGCACCTGGCTTTAGCATCTCTGCGGAGCCACACATGGATCCTCACCTGTGCCGACCCTGTGGTCTCCAGTTAGCGACCCACCTGAGGAAGCATCTTTATCCCAGCAGCTAATGCCGGATGGTGGGAGAACAGAGGCTGAGGGGCTTCCTCGCCCACATATGTCATCTCTATTGTGAATGGTGAGAGGTCACAGGTCACCAACTTGGGCTGGGGAGAGTTCACTAACCCAGCCAGATGTAAAAGAGACCCTGCAGGAAGAGCATAGAGAAAAATTTTATTGAAAAAAAAACTAAGCTTATGCACACAATGCAGTTTTACTCAACTATAAAAAGTTCACAAAGAGAAGGAAAGAGAGAGAGAGAGAGAGAGAGAGAGAGAGAGAGAGAGAGAGTGTCTTCCATCCATTGGTTCACTCCCCAGTTGGCCACAACAGCCAGAGATGCACCAATCTGAAGCCAGGAGCCAGATTCCTGGTCTCCCATGCGGGTGCAGGGGCCCAAGGACTTGGGCCATCCTCCACTGCTTTCCCAGGCCATAGCAGAGAGCTGGATTGGAAGTGGAGCACCTGGGACTCAAACTGGCATCTATATGAGATGCTGGCACTGCTGGTGGTGGCTTTACCCACTACACCACAGCACCAGCCCCAGGCTGAGTCTTAAAAGCAACATGCTAAGAGAAAGAAGCCAGATACAAAAGGCCACTTATTTTACCATGACACTCCAAAAATTTCACAGAAAAGTTGAGTTAAAGACTAAGATACTTTGCTGCAAATAATTTTCCAAAATGCATGTACAGTTTTTCCATCACATGCATTTCCATGAACTTGATTAAGACCTTTGAGGGGCCAGTGCTGTGGTGCAGTAAGTTAATCCTCTGCCTGTGGTGCTGCCATCCCATATGGGCACCGGTTCTAGTCCCAGCTGTTCCTCTTCAGATCCAGCTCTATGCTGTGGCCTGGAAAAGCAGCAGAAAATTGCCCAAGTGCTTGGGCCCCAGCACTAACGTGGGAGACCTGCAAGAAGCTCCTGGCTCCTGGCTTCAGACTGGCCCAGCTCCAGCCATTGCAGCCATTTGGGGAGTGAAATGGAAGACCTCTCTGTCTCTCCCTCTCACTGTCTAACTTTACCTCTCAAATAAATAAATCTTTTAAAAAAAAAAAAAGACCCTTTGAATATATAGGTTTCAAAACTTTGTACCAAAGTAAACTTTTAATTGTCTTCCATGAGCTTTCGGAGGCCCTCTTGTATGATTCTATTTATATTAAATATCAAAAACAGGCACAAAAATAGAAAGCAGTTTAGTGGTTGCCAGGGGCTGGAGGGAGGGGGCCTGAGGAGTGACTGGCAGAGGGTATGGGTTTTCCTTTTGGAGTGGTGACAGGTGCACAACATACTGAGTGTACCAAAACCACGCCTGCAGTGTACACTTTAAAATGCTTAAAGTGGTATTTTATGTTATGTGAACTGTATTTCAGAAAAAAAGTACAATTAAGCAACAAATTCCAACATTTTAAGACAAATATCAAAAAGGTTATGGATTTTTAAGACAGCATTCTTTGCACTTTTCTGCATCATCTAAATTTTCTACATGAGCATGAATTACCTTTTTATTTTTATTTATTTATTTATTTATTTATTTATTTTTTGACAGGCAGAGTGGACAGTGAGAGAGAGACAGAGAGAAAGGTCTTCCTTTTCTGTTGGTTCACCCCCCAATGGCCGCTGCGGCCAGCGTACCGCGCTGATCTGAAGGCAGGAGCCAGGTGCTTCTCCTGGTCTCCCATGGGGTGCAGGGCCCAAGCACTTGGGCCATCCTCCACTGCACTCCTGGGCCATAGCAGAGAGCTGGACTGGAAGAGGAGCAACCGGGACAGAACTGGAGCCCCAACCAGGACTAGGAGCCGGTGTGCCAGCGCCGCAGGCAGAGGATTAGCCTGAGCCGAGGCACTGGCCATGAATTATCTTTTAAAAATTGTTCTGTTTTGAAATGGTAAATACACAAGGAAGTTGCAAAACCAGCACAGAGAGATCCTGTGTCCTATTTCCTCTGATGGTTACAATCTTACATAAGGAGAGAACAAATGGAAATCAGGAAGTTGGTATTGTTACAATATGAATATATGGTTTTATGCCATTGAATCACTTGTAGATTTGTATAAACCACCCCTGGGAAAAAAAGACATGGAACTATTCCCCCACCACAATGCTACCCTTAACAATCGCACCCACCCCCCACCAGCAGTCCTAACCCTTGGCATCTGTTCAAGTTGGTAATTTTGTCATTGCAAGACTGCTCTAGGGATAGAATCACAGTATGCCACCCTTCACTCAGCCAGCGAATCCAGGTTGCTGCACGGGTCAAAGGCTTCTCTTTATTGTTGAGCAGTGTTCCGTACTACAGACGTACCCCCATCTCTCTACCTATTGAAAAGCTTTTGCATTGTTGCTGGATCAAGGCCTTTATAAATATAGCTGTTATGAACATTCATGGGTAAGTTTTCATTTCTCTGGGATAAATACCAAGGCACATGATTTCTGATTTAAATAAAGTATATTTAGTGTAAGAAACCAGCCAATTCATTTCCAGGGCAGTGGTACCATTTCACACTGGCATGGCAACATAGGAGTAACCATTGCATCCTTGCTATCACTGTTTCTTTTTTTTTTTTTTTCTTTTACTTTAGCCCTTGTAATAGGTGTACAGTGGTATCTTCTCCGGCCTTGATTTACAATTCCTTCATGGGAGTGTTAAAAGGAAAATTATTAAACCAATCAAACTTAGGTCAGATGCACACTCTGACCCTGGGTATCTACCCCAAAGTTGTGTGCTCTCTCACAGCATAAACTGACCCTGAGGGAGTGCACATGACTCCAGATGAACCCAGGATGCTGTCCTCTAATTTCGGTCCAACCCAGGTGGACCCCCAGGACTCACGACCCAGTCCCATTCCTATTGAATCCAGCTCAGTTTCTGCTTGACCTTGTCACACGCCCCAGTTCTCTTCCCATCATGATTTCTTTTTTGTTTGTTTGCCTGTCAAAAACAAAACAAAACAAAACAGAGTGGACAGTGAGAGAGAGACAGAGAGAAAGGTCTTCCTTTTCCATTGGTTCACCCTCCAATGGCCAGCACATCGCGCTGATCCAAAGCCAGGAGCCAGGTGCTTCTCCTGGTCTCCCATAGGGTGCAGGGCCCAAGCACTTGGGCCATCCTCCACTGCACTCCCGGGTCATAGCAGAGAGCTGGACAGGAAGAGCTGCAACCGGGACTAGAACCGGGGGTGCCGGTGCCGCAGGCAGAGGATTAGCCTATTGAGCCACGGCGCTGGCCCCCATCATGATTTCCAAACCTCGTCCTGACCAAAAGATTTGCTTAAACGAACTCAGACAGCTCAGATCACAAATCCGTGGAGCTCTGGAGTCAGAGATCTTACAACCCCCAAATGTGGCAAAAAAAATGGCACAGGGGGCTCATAAGTACTTACGTCTGGTTTCCTGATGTTCAGGGGTTGGTGGAGCTCAGCTCTGAGCCTGACTACCATGCCAAAACTGTGCAGAGGAAGATTCCTTAGCCCAGTTAAACTCAGTAGGGGCCATTTAAGCAAAGCTGAACAAAACAAGCAGAAACGATTCACCAATTGGGCAACTCCCAGGATCAGAACAGGTTCTTTGAATTCCAGGCCACAATGTCATTGGCTAGCAAGTAATCCTCCTGGGAAAACAGAAGTGCAGCATAGAAGCCATTTAATTGGCTGCAGCTGAGTCAATCTACCAGTCAACGCCTTACAGCTTAACTAGCTATTTAAAACCTAATCAGTCAACTGGCTCTAGGGCCTCCTCTAAGCAGCCACAGTTTGGGTAGTCCGATTAAACTCTGGATTGGTTTGGTCTGTTGCACCCAGTGAGATGCTGAATCCAAGTCCGCAGCTTCCTACAGAGTCCTAACAGTAGCGTTGCGGGCTATTCCTTCCTGTGCTTGTTTAACATCTGCATGTACCTTTTGGTGAAATCTCTCGTATCTTTTGCCCAATTTTAAATTAGATTGTCTCCATCGTTGAACTTTGAAAATTCTTTATATATTGCAGGAGTCCTTTGCCAGAATGGGTGATTTGCAAAAAGTTTCTCTATGGCTTGTCTTTTCATTCTCTTAAGATCTTTTCCCGAGTGAGTTTAATTTTGATGACGTCTAATTTATTAATTTTTTTCATGAAAGGATTGTGCTTTTGGTATTGTCTAAGGATTCTTTCTTCCTCTAGCCCTGGCTCCTACAGACTATCTCCTATGTTTTCTAAGTTTATATTTATGATTACATTTTCAAGCAGCATTTTTCTGTTGCAAATATAAAATGTGGATCCACTGTAGACCATTTGGAATACTCAAAAAAGAAAAAAAAATGCAAAGGGAAAACTAAAATCAATAATATCAATATCCAGAAATTTTTTAGTATTAAATGCCAGCACTTGTAACTTTAATAAAAATGGGACTTTATTTGTTTATTTGAGAGGCAGAGAGAGCTCCCATTCTCTGGTTCCCTCCCCCAAATGCCTGTAACAGCCAAGACTTGGTGAGTGCTGGGAGCAGGAAACTCAGCCCCAGTCTCCCACAAGGGTGATGGGAGCTCAAGTACTTGAGCCAAGAACCTCTGCCACCGAAGATCTATATTAGCAGGAAGCTGGGATCCCAAGCAGGGCTGGACTCAAACCTAGGCACTCTGACATGGGATACAGTCGATCAAATGCCTCCCTCTGTCCTCTTTTTTATAGAAAAATAGAACCATCCAACCGTCAATTGCACTACTGCGTGCCAACCAGGAGCCTGAAGGAGCGGTGCCTTTCTTAATGCTGAGATCAGCCGGGGGAGTTGCTGTTCAGAAAAGACCAAGAACTACTGACCCAAACGGTAAAACTCATGTTTATAAACCACAGCTGTTAGTCACAGGCTGTAATTACCCCAGCAGATAAAGCCGCAACCTAAGAGAGCAGGTTGCTACAGCTGAAGAGAAACAGAAAATAGTCTTTTGGGAACTCACAGGATTGTAACTAAGGGAATGTCAGGGTTGAGGGTGGAATAGATCTTTGTGTATTTGCTGGCTTGAAGACAGGCTGACCCAGTATGAAAATGACCACGCTTTGGCTCCCGTTCTGCTTTGTTGGAGCTCAGTCTGTTGAGGTTCCCTTTTTCAAGCCCTGGCATTGGGGGCATCTGACAGCCAGCTTCCTCCCAGCCTCCCCACTTGATTCCTGGGCACCTGGAGCTCTGCTTCTCGTCTCCCACCCCCACCTGCCTGACTCCTTGGTCTACTCTGTAATTACAGCAGAGGCCTCTAGCCAGCTGCAGAGGTGAGCCAGTCTTAAAATGAAGCATTAGATCAGAGACATCTCTCTCTTCTTCCCACCCCCAGCCTTCCAGGAAGCTGATACAGATGTGACATTTGCTATTTAAATTCTTTTTCAGAGAACCATGTGGCACAGTGGGTAAGCTGCTGCCTGGAACATCTGCATCCCATATTGGGATATCTGGTTTGAGAACTGACTATTCCACTTCTGATCCAGCTCCCCGCTGATGTGCCTGGGAAAGCAGCAGAAGATGGCCCAAGTGCTTGGGCTTCTGCAACCACTGTGGGAGATCCAGATGGAGTTCTGAACTCCTGATTTTGGTCTGGTCCAGCCCTGGTGGTTGCAGGCATTTGAGGAGTGAACCAACAGGCAGATCTCTCAGTGTCTGTCTGTATTGCTCTCTGCCTTTCAAATAAATGAAAATAAATAAATTGTTCAAAATAAATTACTCTGTGAAGGTAAAACAAACCTGGGCTTGATTCAATCAGTCTAGCTGTGTTCATATTTCAGGTCTGTACCTAGTAGGACAGTGCCTGAACTCTGTAACAATGTGCTTATACTCACAAAGAGACTCATTTTTTTTTAATATAAAGTAAGAACCACTATTGTTTGTTGAATATTTAGGATTCAAATGAGCCCCTGGGATGGTGACAGGCACATAAATTTATTTAAAATATTTAGATTAGAAGTTAGTTACATGATGAAAACTCCAACCAAAATATCCATCAAAAGGAAATTAGGCAACTAAAATTATGATACACCATACAGCAACTTAACACTGATTGCCATGGAAAGCTGCCTACATGTCATGAATTCAAAAGCAGGTTATAAATTCACATAGAGAGCTCGATCCTACTTTTTAAACGGCTTTGGGGAAGAAATATCCAAAATATTCAGGGATAATCTCTGGATTGATGAAATTAATGATAGACGTGATTCTTTCCTGAGTTTTCCAAATCTAAATGCATTGAGCTTATATAGCATTACTAGAAAAAAAGAAAGCTAATTCCTAGCAAAGGTCAGAGGGTAGGAAGGTGAAATAGAACTGTGTATGTCATGCAGAAGCTATTTTATATGCTAGTTCTATCATATAACATAAAAAGCTCATAGCTAAAAATATTCAAAGGGCACAAGGAGTATGGGTGAAAAGTAAGAGTTGTTTCCTTAGTGGATCCCCCGGAACTCTCTCCACATGTAACTACTGTGCACAAAAATGTATCTTGAGTGCAGAAACTGACCCCTGAGAGCAGATGGGAAATGCAGACCTAATGTGAAGAGGCAGGAGACAGCTTTGCAGGGAAGTGAAATGAAATTCACCAGCCCACTGCTGGCCATGCCCTTGCTCACTCTCAAAACATCCTCTGCAAATCACCCTGCCCTCAAGTAAGGGAAACCACCCTCTTCACACTCCGAACACATGGGTTTCAGCAGACGCTGTCCCCCGCCCCCACTAGACAGGCGTGCACGTTCGCACTGGCTCCAAAGCCCAGAGGAATCAAGTCTAGTTTGAATTCCAACATCCACTTCAGGGCTGAGTCATAAAGGCAGTGCAGGCGCTGCTGGGTGCATGGGGGTCTCATGCTTCCCCCTGGACCAGTCTCTCCTCCGCTGACTTTTTAAATCGTTTAATAGTTGGCTCCTTCCCATCCTCCATACTGCAGCTGAAGCAGCAGCTCCTCGGAGAAGAGACAAGTTAGCTAAACTGGTGTGGTCAGCCCCTCTGTCCCCTTTCACTACTCTCTGAGCAGGCCCCTGGGAAGACTTACTACCATTTGCAATCTGTAATTTATTTATGCCCGACCCCTCCCTCCCGACTGTAAACTTCACAGTGTCAGAGACATGCATTTTTATTTATTTATGTACAGGTTTATTTATTTATTTGAAAGGCAGTTACAGAGAGAGAAGGAAAAAAGAGAGAGAGAAAGAGATGTTGATTCTATCCACTGGTTCGCTTCCCAACAGCCAGGGCTGGGCCAGGCTGAAACCAGTAGCCTGGAACTCCATCCGGGTCTCCCACACTGGTAGCAGAGGCCCAAGCACTTGGGTCATCTTCCATTGCTTTCTCAGGCCATTAGCAGGGAAGCAGATCAGAAGTGGAGCAGCAAGCCCTTGAACTGGTGCTCATACGGGATACCAGTGTTGCAAGCAGCAGCTTAACCCACAGAGCCACAACACTGACCCCACATACAGTTTATTTATTTATTTTTAAAGATTTACTTATTTACTTAAAAGTGTTACACAGAGTAAGAAGGAGAGGCTCCGAGAAATGCAGGAACCCAAGGACTCAAACCAGCGCCCATATGGGATGCCGGCACTGCAGGCTACACCGCAGTGCCACCCCCCCCACACCTATGTGTTTTTAAATTAACCTTTGCATAGCTAGCTTATACCCCATAGTAGATACTTTTTTTTTTTTGACAGGCAGAGTGGACGGTGAGAGAGAGAGACAGAGAGAAAGGTCTTCCTTTGCCATTGGTTCACCCTCCAATGGCCGCCACGGCCGGCGCACTGCGGCAGGCGCACCGCGCTGATCCGATGGCAGGAGCCAGGAGCCAGGTGCTTTTTCCTGGTCTCCCATGGGGTGCAGGGCCCAAGCACCTGGGCCATCCTCCACTGCACTCCCTGGCCACAGCAGAGAGCTGGCCTGGAAGAGGGGCAACCGGGACAGAATCCGGCGCCCCGACCGGGACTAGAACCCGGTGTGCCGGTGCCGCTAGGCGGAGGATTAGCCTAGTGAGCCGTGGCGCCGGCCCCATAGTAGATACTTAAAAAAAATATATTGAATGAATGAAAGTGTTAACAAGACAGAAAATTTTACAAGTCCATCTTTGAGATAAAACTCTTAATTAAAGAAAAAGATTGATTGATCGATTTGAAAGGCAGAGTTACAGAGAGAGATGGAGACAGAGGCAGAGATGTTCCAACCACTGGTTCACTCCCCAGATGGCCTCAAAGGCTGTAGGGTTGGGAGAGGCCAAAGCCAGGAGCCAGGAGCTTTATCCAACTCAAACATGGGTGCAGGGGCCCAAGCATTTGTGCCATCTTCTGTTGCTTTCCCAGGTGCATTAGCAGGAAACTGGATCAGAGGTGGATCTGCAGGGACACGAACCAGCATCCATACGGCATGCCAGCATTGCAGGTGGCGGCTTTACCTACTACACTGCAATGCCAGCCCAAGCTAATTTTTTTTGATGATATAGATAATGGCTAACCCTTGAACAAAAGGTCCAGATTCATTTTTCGTGGAGTAATCAAGAAACTTTTATCAAGAGCTATTTGCCAGACCCTGTGCTAGGTGCTGGGGATAGTGGTGCCCGGTGGGGTGCTCAGTCTAGTAAGGAAGACAAATAAAAAATAGGTGAACAGGACCAGGGAA